CCCCCTTAGTGGATAGAGGTCAGAAGACAAGCTCCTCCCTCAAATCCAGGGTTTCCCAATTTGAGGTGAATTCTTTCTCCTTGGTTAATAATTTGGCTAAGAGAAAAAAGTCAACACTTGTTGAATATTTCAAATAAATAAGTTCTCTTAAAATTTAAATGTTTGCACACAGAAGTAAATTATCTCCATTAGGCAGAACACACATTCACTTCTTCCTCAACTAGGCGTGCAGCAGGCAGATAAAAATGGCTGTGTATTTATGTCATGGTCTCCTACAGGAGAATGTGCTTGCTTAGAATTAGGTAAAATGTTCATTTACCTGAAGTAATCGCTGCTTTTGGGTAGCCAGATGGTGAACACACCCGTGTTCAAAGTAGGGTACCTTAATTTAGATCCAGACGGTTGAATCGAAAGAGGAAATTTACCCAAGGTAAATGCGCATTTTATTCACTTTCTAAAGAGGGAGACCATTTTTCTTTGACATACTTTGTTGGGTCTATAATGTTCCCGAGTAACAGAAGACAATACGAGGAGGTCTTTGCTATAAAGAATTCCTTAGAGAGAAACTAACATCTCTATGTGAGGTCGGAAAATACTAATGTGCTTCTCAGGGGGAAGTGGGACTCTCCCCATTTGCAAAAGTTGTGTGGGGACGGCGGAGGATTTTATTTCTGGGCAGGTACTGTTCTATTCTGCTGTGGCAATAGTGGACGTGGTTTGACGCCTTGTAATTTTTCAGGAGTGAATTAGTAATCATGATTATTAATAAGAATAAGAAAGCCACCACGCTGCTGTAAGTTGAAAGCAGCCTCACTTTTCTCACTCATTTGGGTGAGCAGATAGTCTTACAAGACCAAGTACGAAAATGTGTCTTTTTGCCCCACTCTGGAAAGCAGGGAATTAAAAATTTTTGAAAACGATTTGTTTTTGTGAAGACTCTTTTCTATGGTTATTAATGAACTTAGTTCTTTGTTTTCCTGTCAGACACACATAACTATACGGGCAAACTGTATCCAGTCCTAGATTTTGGTCACAATTCAGTAAACCGAATCTGGAAAATAAAACAAAACAAACAAACAAACAAAAAAAACTCTGACCATTTAATCATGACTCAGGGAGGAAAATGTATATCTGATTGGTGCTTTTCACGCCATGTTTTCCTGTGTGGTTTGGTTACCCTGGGTAGTAATAAAATACAGAATTTCTCTGTAAGAGTTAAAAGTTTGTATTTTATTTTTAAGTTTATTTAAAAAAAATTGACAGAAAATTACACACATTTCTGATGCACATCATGTTTTGAAGTATGTGAGTTGTGGAATTGTTACACCTAGCTTTAACCTATGCATTACCTCACGTAGTTATTTTTTACTTTTTTTTTTTTTGAGACAGAGTTTCACTGTTAACCCTCAGTAGAGTACCAGGGTGTCACAGCTCACAGCAACCTCCAACTCCTACACTTAACATCTACTCTTTTAGCATATTTTTAAGAATACAATGTATCATTTCTAACTATAGTCACCATGCTGTACAATAAACCTCTTTAATTTGTTGCATCTGTCTAATAATTATGTATCCATTGACCAACACCTCTTCAACCCACCGACTACTTTCCTCTAACTCCTCTAGCTTCTGGTAACCATCATTCTGCTCTCAGTTCAACGAGACCAACTTTCTGAGATTCCGTATGTGAGTGAGATCACACGATGTTTGTGTTTCTGTGCCTGGCTGATTTCACTTAACACAAAGCCTTCTAGATTTATCCATGTTTGTTGCAAATGACAACATTTTCTTATTTTTAATGGCTGAATAGTGTTCCTTTATGCCATCAACATTTTCTTTTTCCATTTATTCATTGATAA